CACTATGTAGCAGGCTTGTCTCAAAGTCACAGTGGTCCTCCTGCCTTAGCCTCCCACGTTCTGGGATTACAGGTATGTGCCACCACGCCTGGCCTGTCTAGTATTTTTTTTATAGATTCTGATTCTTTGTTAAACTGGTCATTTGTGCTTTGTGTTATTTTGTTTAGCTCATCTATCTTTCTCTGCTTTGATGCCTCATGATTAGCTTTAGGGGATTTGGGAGGCATTTTGTTGCTTTGTTTTCTCAGGTTTCTATTTTGTTTTGTCTGTGTGTGTGTATATGTGTGTGTGCAGAGGGGTGGAGGTCAATTATAGTGGAAAGACCTTTTTTGCTGGTGTGAAGATCTCTACTTTCTACTTTCCAGTGATGTGCTCTGAGCATGGCTAACTATAACCTTTTGCCTCTGTCCCAGGACTAGACCACATCCATTAGTTTGGGGAAGGGAGGGACCAGCATAATTGGCCTAGCCACTAGTTCTCCAGAAATGAGCAGTGAGTATACTGTCTTTGTGTTGATTACACAAAACAAACCAGATATTGGCATATAGTAAAAATTAATTAATAGCAACAACTATTTCATCCTGGCAATAGAATCAAAATCAGCAACAATAATAGATTCAAAGATAAACTGAGTATTGTTATACCATAAGAGCCAATAAAAGATACTACTGCCAGGGCCAGGGGTTTGGCTCAGTGGTTCTGCTCCCTGCCTTGCAGGTGCAAGGTCCTGAGTTTGAAAAAAAAAAAAAAAGTTGCCACTGTCCTACCCCTAAGAACAGAAGAGGTATCTATAAAATAATACAGACAAAAAGGCAAACCAAATAGTGACATAGTAAACATCTACTAAATGCAGCAACTATATCACTGTTAACAATAGAAAAGAATTAATTAAAAAAAAGAATTCAGCAATAATGGCATAAGTTCAACTAAATAAGCATTTATGAAGTTTAATAATAATACTAAAAAATTAAGGAGTTGAGAAAGGGGAAAGTAAAGAAAGTTAAATATGAAAAATAAAGAAGAGAAAGATGA